CCCACTAGGCAAGAAATTCTTGCTGGTGGCAACCGATTACTTCATTAAATGGATCGAAGCCGAGCCCTTAAGCCGTATTCGAAATGTGGAGGCGAAGAAGTTCGTATGGCAGAACGTCATCACCCGATTTGGAATCCCCAAGGCTATTATTTCTAACAATAGGACTCAATTCAACAGTGGCCTATTTAGAGAATTCTGCTCGGGGTACGGAATATGTAATTACTATTCTACGCCGGTCTATCCCCAATGTAATGGACAGGCTGAGGTGTCCAACAAAACCATGCTAGCGGAAATCAAGAAGAGACTTGAGGCGGCAAAAGGAAGGTGGACCGAAGAATTACTTAATGTATTATGGGCATACAAGACCATGCAGAGGACTTCAACAGGAGAAACCCCATATCCCTTGACATATGAGGTCGAGGTTGTCATCCCCTTGGAGGTGGGACTCCCAACAATACGAAGCCAAGCTTTCGAATTGGAAAACAATGATCAAACTCTCGCTAGAGATCTCGATTTAGCCAAGGAAAGGAGGTCGTCGACATCCATCAGGCTGGCGAGGTACCAAGGGGAATTGTCACGGCAGCACCGGAAGAAGGTTCGAACGAGAGATTTCCAAGTCGGAGATTTGGAATTACAAAAAATGGTGGGCAATACGCGCAAGCCTACTGATGGAAAACTGGGTCTCAATTGGGAGGGGCCTTATAAGGTGATCTCTGCGGGGGTCACAGGCGCGTATCGATTGCAAAATATGAACGGTGACGATGTAATCCGGCCATAAAATGTATCGAATTTAAAGAAATACTACTACTAAATCAAGTTTCAGTCTTCATGGTTGCATTAACACGAGTCAGGTGCTCAGCGTTAGGGGTACGGCCCCGAGGGGTATAAGACTTCACCCTTGGAGCAACGCCTTCAAAATATTAACATAAGTCAGGCACTCAGTCACTAGGGGTACGACCCCGAGGGGTGTAAGACTCCACCCTTGGACAAACGCCTTCAAAATATTAACACGAGTCAGGTGCTCGATCGTTAAGGGTACGGCCCCGAGGGGTGTAAGACTCTGCCCTTGGAGCAACGACTTCAAAATATTAACGAGTCAGGCGCTCGGTCGTTAGGGGTACGGCTCCGAGGGGTGTAAGACTCCACCCTTGGAGCAACGCCTTCAAAATATTAACGAGTTAGGCGCTCGGTCGTTAGGGGTACGACCCCGAGGGGTGTAAGAGTCCACCCCCATATATACTCAGTCCCGAGGGGTCCAAAGACCCAATTGCAAGTTCAACGCGTTTACTTTTATGAAGTCAACATGTAGCCTTGCTACCTCAGAAGGTCCTTATTGACGTAACGTCAAAGACACTATCCTTGAAACACGATTGACGCAGGAGATAAAAGACACTTGTAGAAAAATGGAGTTCATTGCAAATCAAAAAGGGCTTTGTATCCCCAAGCATACAAATAGTAACTAAATTCTGTACAAAGAAGAGCTACAAAACAAATACGGAACATAGAAGTGACTAAGCTCACCAGCTGCTAAGGCCCTCGGCTCATTCCTCCCCGGCTCCTCCCCCGTCGAGGCCTCCACGCCGCCTTTGTAACTCGTCTCCGACCCCCAATATCTCATCTAGCTCGATATCGTGCACCCCAATAATGATGGGGGCAGATCATCTGTTGGCTCGGCAGGTGATAAAGACGGAAGGATAGAAAAAGGCTGGTCAGAACCGTCGCTGAGTGTGATGGGTTCGTTTCCACCTTCAGCCCCGACCGGCCCTTCTGCCTCCACGTGATCACTTAGGTCGGATCGTACCCGTTCGTCCTGGGCTTCGTCATCGGCCTCCCTTCGAAGGTTGTGCATGGCGAACAAGTCCAAACCAACCTCGACGTGCTAGGCATGAAGGGCGGCGTCCCAACCTTCTTTGAAAACCTTCTTCTTGGCTTCCTCGAAGGCAGGGACCATTTGGTCTTGAGTGGCCGCCCATACCCCCTGACATTCCGATTGCAGCCTGTCCTGCTCTCCCGCTTTCTCTGTTGTCAAGGAGTCCACTTTGGCAGTAAGAGCGTTGATTACAGACTTGGACTCTTGCAGCTTGGCTTCGGAGGAGGACACTCGCAGGTCGTACTCCTCGGTCTTCTTTATCATCGCAGCTTCACCCGCTTTGGTCTTTTTCAACTCGGCATGAACAGCGTCTTGGTGGCAGATAAGCTCGGCGATGTGCTTGATTTGGTCGTCGAGGTTCCTCTCGACCTTAAGGATGTGGTCGTCCTTAGCAACTACGGCACACTCGGCGTTCTTCGCCTCTTGTTTATATTCCCAAAAATGTTCAATTATGGCTCCCACCTGCTGGCTGGCCTAAAAAAAGAGAAATATTAGAGAACGACCAAAAGGGTGCAAGGAATACTTGGGAAAGTGTTAAACTTACCACCAGGTTGTTTTGGATAGTGCTCATCAGAAGCCGATTGTTCGAGTAACCTTTGTACACGGCCATATCGGTGTCAAATTGAAGCGTCCCCGCGACGGCAAATACCACTTCAGGGGATTGGAGGATAAAGTCAACTTCCAGAATAGGACGGTCGCTCTTGGTCTCGACATGAGCAACCCACTCGCCTGAGACAGACGGGCCCGAGGCATCATGCCGCCGCTTCACACGGCGTTCCTCAGATTGTTCAACATCCCTGGCACGCCTGTCCCTCAACCGGTCTCCCGGAGCGGGGACTTGTTGAGATTAAGGCGTTTGCCTAGTCAACACGGCCAGATCCCTGGATTGTTGCGTACGCTGCGGCAGTAGGGGCGGTTGCCTCTGAGGGGAACTAGGCGGGGGGATGATGGGGGCAATGTTGGAAGCCCCAGCCAACCGGGCGGGTCTGGCTCTCTTTGCCGTGGCGGCGGCCTCTATTGTAGCAGCGGTGATTGGTGGCGGATTAAACATTTCAGGCGCAAGGGGCTCGGCAGCGTGATGATCAGACTCTTCTCCCTCGGATTCTTCCTCTTCCGACGAGAAATGGTCTTCCCAAACAGAAGGGTTGAAAGGAGATAGGATCTAGGAGAATCGACTGTAAGTCGGCGTGTAGCCGAGAAGTGTATGTGCCGCTCGCTCAACTGGGTCCGAGGACCAAACCCTTAGCAGGTCAGCAAATCAGACTTGGGACCTCAACAGTTGAGCAGTGTCCCGGCGATATCCTTCTATAAAAGCAAAGCAAAATCAGTGCATCCCTCGGACCCAAGAATAGCAAAATCAAGAAGTCGGAAAGGAAACACACCTTCATCCCTCGGCACTTTGGGACAGTACAATTTATCATACTCGGGCCCGGTCCCATTCTCCCAACTTCCGCTGAGCATGATCAGATCGTCTACATACCCCTTGTTCGAGTCGGGCATGTGGGTTACCAGATACATTGAGGCGTCTCGAGCCTGGAGGTAATATCGCCCCCAGCGACTAGCCTCAGGTTGTAACAGAATAAAATTTCGTCTACTCCTAAGTTGGTCCCCAGCCGAGCGTTTAAGGCAACTACGCCCATCACAATCCTAAAGAAATTAACCCCACATTGAAGGGGAAAGAGCTATAGTTGCATCAACACTCCCAGCAACAGGGGATAGAGGGGGAAGGTCAATCCTCCCTCCATGATGGCCTTCGTCTAGAAAGGCATCATGTCCACATTTTCCATATCCCTCCTATGGTGAGTGGGATCGAAGGGAAAAGCAAAGACAAGCTCACAGATGTGGTACCTAACCCTAATCAAAGACAAGCAAAGACAGGCTCACTTGGGTTCTCCTCATCTTGTGGATAGTCCTAGCCCTAACAGACGTCTCCCCCCTGATTCTACTAGTTCTAGCCATTGGTGGGCGCTAAAAAGACGAAATGTAGAGGAAATGAAGGGAGAAAAAGCTCAAGTGGAAGTACTTACAGGAAGGTGGTCTTCAAAGAGAGAGCTCGGAGGACGAAGGAAATTCGGAAGAGAACAAAGAAGCACTCGGGGTCTGATTGCTGAAGAGAGGTTGAGGATGCAAAAGTTATGAGAATGTATCAAAACCTCCTATTTATACTGCCTCACTGGGAGCGGGAATTAAAAAGTTGGGTCATCATTAGGGCATTTGAAAAGGGCGGCACCATATGTGCAAGTAATCGTCGTTGTTAATAAGGCGTGATGATAGCACCCCCAATCTCTTTACGCCACTTGTCTTGTACTACGAAAAGGATGACAGCTAGGGGGCAGTTGACGGGACTCTAGGTGGCTCTACAGCCCCCGAATTGACACGTGGAATAATGAAGCCGTTGGAATATTTAAAGGGTGCCGAGCAAGTAAGCCGAGGTATGGTGACACGGAACAGCCGAGTACGACAGCTGGCATCGTATTTAATGCGATGTGTCCCCTCATTTATGGCAAAATGAGTGATAGTGACAAGGCAAATAAATGCGCGCCTGCCAGCACCTGCCCTCTGGGAGTCTAAGCCTACTGTCATGATGGCTAAGCATTAATGGCTGATGCGCCGAGACGACGCAATCGGCTCTCCCGAGAAACTGTTCCCCTCGAGTATTCAATACTCAGTTGATGTCAGATGCTGATCTGGAGGGTTTGGATACTCGGGGAGTGGCATAAATGCTCGGCATTTGGCCGAGCATTTACCCCACTTTCCTAGCATTCAATAGGAGGAAAGGTGAGTAAAAAAACACTTATCGCACGAGGAATGGTGTATCAGATGTAAAGATGTCCAAATGGGACTGGAGATCATTGACAATCATTGCTAATTCAGGTATAAATACTCCTCAAAAAAATGGACAAAAATACACAAACTTGAACCAGAAAAATAGTCTATTGAGCAAAACCCTTCGACCTTATACTGACTTAAGCTTCGGAGGGGATTAGCCGGGCACTCGTCTGGCCCCGTTTTTTCTGACCCTGTTGTTTCAGGTTTGCCAACTTGGAGATCGCTGCCTCATACTATTGCAGGAATTATCCCATGCAAATTTCATTACAAAAAGCATATAAGAACAATCATGGAAACTTACCCACATCCTTTCCACGGATAAGGAATCCCGGTTATGTTGGCATGAAATGCCCTTTGAACTTCTGGGAGATTGAAATACACTTCTGAATATCTTTCAGTGCAAGGATCATATGCTCTGGACATCCATGGCTAAGGTCAAAAACAAACGTGAGTCAACTAAAAGAAAACCAGTGAACAATATTTTCTGAAATTTCAAACAATGTTTCAAGTACGAGGGGCAAAAACTAAAACTGGAAGTGCCATGCAAAATTATGAAGCCCACTGACAACTAAAAGGTGGCCCAGGGCATAGGGCTTCCGCCGTTGCGGCATAGGGCTTCCGCCGTTGCGGCATTTGGGGAGGGTCAGAATTTTTGACAACTAAAGAATCAAAATTTTGTTGAGTATTTAGTGTTTACCTTTGACTTTCACATTTAGTCAGGAAACTATCATGAAAGAAGTCGGCAAGGTTAAAATAGTGATCCTAATGCAAGCACCAGACCAAAATAATGGAATACAGTTAGGCAAAATCACACTTTCCCAATTTTTAGCAAGGTTTGTTGATGATAAACATAAATTGACAACATTGGTGGCATGAGTAATCCAAAAGATATATACACTTACAGCCTTGTGCACTGTTTATGGCATGACACTACATAACCATTAAATTATAAGAGTAGCAAGTTATAATAAACCAGTATTTGCAAAGGCCAACAATCACAAACTTAAGCTGATACCACATTCACTTCTTTTCTGCAAATGGGTACTCGCTGTTATTTTAATAATTCAGGTATCATGCCATTTTAACAGCTTCATGTAAAATATATGCAGAAGTGATTTTCATTTTTCTTTCCCACTTCCCTTCTTATCATCACTACCATCCAAATCAAGTGTGCCTCTATCAAAAGGGTTTGAAGTACACAACTTTATTTGAAGCTGGAGTCAAATGAGTGGTGCCTACTATTATGCAGGACCATTACAAGTCATCAAGCAGGTCACGTGCATGAGGAATGCCGTGGGTATCAAGTCAGGCATAGATCTGATTCTGCAGTCATGGAATTGTTGTATGCAAAAAGGCACTTGGGACCTTGGGCGCCTATAAATGGTAGACAATAACTACGTGAACTATACAATAACCGTGTCAAGTACCGACACCTAAAATGGAAGGCTCCAGTCAGAGGTTAATTGTGCACTTATCTACTCGGATTGAGAAATCTCTTTAGCAGACACATTGTGTATTTATTTTGGGGTAATGATAAATAAACCAATCCTTTCAAATATCACAATAAATTTCCAGCCAAAAATTTCTCCCACGTCAGTCTTCATAATAACAGAAAGGCATCATATCCTTCCTTCTTTTTGCATGCATTATTTTTAATCGTCTTTTGATTTTTCTTCCAGATTATTTCCAGAGTTACCTTTGCATCACCATTCCATGCTTAACAATTTTTTGTGATATTTTCTGCAGCTGATTTCTAAACAGAAAATATAGTAGGCTGTAAACAATTTCAAATCATGCACTAGAACTACAGGTAGATGGTATTCCGAGATTGTTTCAGATAAAAACCACCATCTAGGAGGGTTAAGAATGCACCATTAAGACATCAAAAACTGTACGGGGTTGCCATTCAGTTGCTCACCTTTGTTTTTTTATCTAATTCAGTTAACCGCCTTAGATTCCCCATTTTAAACCTCAATTCGAGATCAGATTTGATGGACACTTACATAATGACCCCTTAAGTTACGCTGTAGAGATGAAGTATCATTGCAAGTTCCTGTGTAAATGCTATATGGATCGATGTTTCCCTCCTCCGCCTGTGCAATACTGAGGGCCTTCATGCAAACACTCGACGGGTGCGTAGCAGATCCAAAGTCACAGGCTAATCGAAGAAGTTTATAGGTAGAATCTGAAATCAAACCATGGGTCCACCAGTATTCAAACGTGCCAATATAATCATGGTAATCGTCTGTAACAGCATTCCCCACCTAAAAGAAGAACATATGAAGAAGAAAACAAAAGCAAAGGGAAAAAATTAGTCAATAAATGAAGATTCAGTCACAATTATCAGAAACAAAATGTGTATCATTGAGATTTGTCATTAGTCTTACCAAGAAACCTTTAAAATTAATAACTGGGTTGTCAACTCCCCGGTTTATCTGGTAAACAATTTGAGACAACTGGGGAACATAATGACCTGAAATTGAAAACAGTAAAGGTAGATTAGCTCATCGTCCTGTCAGGTACTTTACAGGAAAAATGCATGTAAGTGACATTAGAAATATGACTATGGACCTGCATAACTTTCTCCAGCAATGTAGAAATCTCTATGCTTGTATTGTGGAAACCTTTCAAACCATTTGATAAGAAATGTATAGGCATCTTCAGCTACAAATTCACAACATACAGATCACAAGTAGGCAGTCAGAGTCAGAACTAACTAAGTCTAAGGCTCTAAGCTAAAACAACATAAGTAGAGAAATTTGTTTTATACTTCTTATGGTTACTAGATAAACAAAAAACATATTAAGGAATGAACATTCACAAAAAAGTTATGGTGCGTTACCTGTTCTCTGATCTCCTGCATTGTACAAGTCCGATGTCGTATTAGAATATGAAAAGCCAACACCAGCTGGGGATTCAAGGAAAAGCACATTTGCCACTGCCAAGAAGTCAAGAAATTGAAATCAGAAACAGATCATGGAGATTATAAAGAAAACAATTGAGTAAAAGAATAAAGAAGTGACACATCAATTGTCACGTACAATTATTCCAAGCATAAGGATTCAAGAAAAGGGTCTTTCCATCAGAATTAATACGGAAAGGTCCAATCTCTTCAGCAGCCCCATAACCTACAGAAGAACAACCAGGCCCTCCATTGAGCCACAAAAGGAGAGGTCTTGACTCAGGACCACGACTAGCTGGTGCCTCAATCAACCAGTAAAACAGTGCCCTCCCAGCTTGCTGGTTTACAGTCACATAACCTGAGTACTGAGAGAAGCCAACATTGACAGGTTGTCCAGGCAGCTCTTTGATCCTATCTCTCTCTTGTTCTACACTAGACAAAGAATAACAAGTACCCAGAAAAAGGAATGGCAAGCAAAGTACAAAGAAGAAGGAATGACCCATGGGTCAAATCTCTCAAAAACAACAAACAAACAAATCCCAGAAACACTGAGCCCAAAATAATTTCCCAAGAAATTTATCTACAGAGGAATAAATGACGAGATTCGCACATAAAGGGAAAGAATGGTGGACATTTATATCGAGAATTGGATATTCATGCCCATCATCATTGTATAGGAAACTAACAAAACAGGCTATACCCAGAAACACAAATCCCAAAGTATTTCTGGGTTTTCAAGGTAGTTTATCTGCATAAGCCTAGACAATGAGACTAATACTTGAGGATCTCATTAACATTCTGGGAACGGTGGAAATTTCCCATGAATCAATGTCAACAATATACAGAAAATAAATAGAAGCAACTATACAAATCTTCAAAAATACTGGGCCTTAAGGGAATTTATCTACAAACGCCAAAAGATTGAATGTTGACATTTAGAATCTAGAGAGAGAGAGAGAGAGTTGTTGACGGTGGTACATACTTTATTCTTCCACTTCTGTTCACAATGAGTGATTGATTGGCAATTGGTTGTAATGAGTTGTGTCGGAACCCAAACTTCACATCCATTTTATGTTTTTTTTTTCTCCTTTGTTTTCTCATACAACACCTACTAAAAGTTTTCTCTTGTAAGCATGCTTCTTTCAAGCATTTGACCGAACAGGTTAAAGGCTCACATGGGACTTGTTCTGCACTCCATTGATTATCATTGGCAGACGAAGAAGATTGCGGATATTTTACTAGTTTTTGGGCTGAAATGATGGGGAAAGAAAAACCAATAAGAAAACGGACAAAAGCGTCAGATCTTTCCATTGAATCTTATGAAGAGCTTGGACTTTGTTGATTGGGATTATACTCTTAAATGAGGGAAAGAGAATGATGACATCACTTTCCAAATAAAGAACATATTTATTTTTCGAAGCCAATTATGGGGCTAATAGCCTAGAGTTGTTACTTCTAATCAGGGTTACTGATTTACAAAAAAATTGATGAATGAAAGCCTAAAGAAGAACAAGTGAAAACAGCTCGTTAGATTTTATCTTATAACCTTTTATTTAGAAACGTCTGGACTGGAGATTAATGATTGCCCCGGCTATCTCTCCCTCCCTTAAGTTTTAAGGTCTTCAGTTTGAATCTTGTTGTCTTTTTTATTCCGACTAAAAAATAAAAAATTTGTCGCAGGAGGGTCCTTACTAAAATACTGTTATTTTTTTTTTAAATATCTGAAAAGAAATAAAATGATTTAACTTGTTTTTTCTTTTGTTTTTTTTATTTTTGCTAGTGAACGAAGGATAACTCAAGTGATAATAAGGACAAATTATAAATTCATATATCTCGAGTTCAAATCTTGGTACTTTTTAAAGGGCAGGCCATAGACCCATGTAAAACTTATTTTTCATGAATATTCTAGTTTAAGCATGAATGACTTGTTTTTAATCGAACATGAGAAAAAATTAATTAAAATACATATATGCCGACCCGAATACTCTGACCGTTGAAAAAAAAAACATAGTATACTATCTACTATTGTACTACATTAATGGCACACGGTGGTCCCTATGCTATTTGTTTTCCATTTCTTTCGTATTGATAGTTAATGGATGGGCTTGAGGTAGAAAATTTGTTGGAAAATTCTTGAGAAATGATACTTCTTTCGTTCTTAAATATCTGTCGTTTTATATAATTTTTTTTTTTTCATAATATATGTCGTTTAATGAAACCAAATCATAATTAATATTTTTTCTTCTAAATTTACCCTTAATTTTTCTAAAACATTAAATTAGGTGGAGATTAAGTGTCTTTTATAATTATTTCATTCTCAATATGTATTGAATAAGAGTATTTTAGTTTTGTGTAATTATTTTTTACTCATATTAGAGTTATTTAATAGTTTCCTTAATCCATATACAAAAACCTTAAACAATAGATATTTAGGAACGGATGGAGTATTTTTTTGAAAAAAAAAAAATAAAACCTTTTTGTATCATTTCTTGATGTCAACAACACGCCTCTTTCAGTAAGTGCCCACTTCCACAAATCCTTATCCACGTTGTTCGAAATCAATCATTTCAAAAATTCAGGAGTAACATCCTATCATCTTGAATATTACTCAATTAACTAGCCACGGTAGCGAAATGAGTAATTTATAATTTATACCATTAAAGTATACACATAATTTATATTTGGTCCTTAAAATTTTAATTAATACAATTACATCCTTAAAATTTAAGCGAGTTTTAATCCAATCTTTACATCGAAATAAGTCACTGGACATCCCCCATAAACAAATAATACCTCTCTTAAATACATTGGTATTTTTTCCTTTGTCTCACAATATCTCTCTCAAGTTCTCACTCTATAACTTTTATTTTTGGGTTCATTATCATTTTTTTTTTCTCAAAATCAAATGAAATAAAGTAAAATTATAGTCTACACATAAAAGATTATCATACAAATATATCTCTTTACCTATGTTAGGTATTAGTCACATAAGACAATTCCATCGTAAAACTCAATGAAGACTCTAAGGATTTGACTGTTATAATTAAAACTTCAAGGATAAAAAAGAAATTAAATACATACTTTTAAGAGTAAAAATTATAATATACCCTAGGGCAAAAAAAAATGGGTAGCAATGCACCTTTTTCCCGTATATGGTAGGGTGGGGTGGTTGAGAGTTGAGACTTATCCGTCAAATATAAAAAGGACTGTTGAGCTTATTTCCCCATATAAAAAATGATTGAGGCAATGAGAATGATTTGCCACCTTTTAAATTATTTGGAATTTCATAGAGTAGATCAGTAAATACATAGTGAGCAAAACCACATAATTTAATGATCATAGCATTATGTTTCTCACTTAGATTTGCTCATTTGTAAAAGAGCAGTGTTTCTTTCATTATTTGCTATTTAGACCAATAACAAGTTTTAATGTCATATAACCTTTAAGGGGTTGTTTGGGAAGGGGGTATCCAGGGTTTGGCAAGTTGTGTTTGAAAAAAATAGTAAAAAGAACCCCTAAATTTCATGTTTGTNTTTCCTTAATCCATATACAAAAACCTTAAACAATAGATATTTAGGAACGGATGGAGTATTTTTTTGAAAAAAAAAAAATAAAACCTTTTTGTATCATTTCTTGATGTCAACAACACGCCTCTTTCAGTAAGTGCCCACTTCCACAAATCCTTATCCACGTTGTTCGAAATCAATCATTTCAAAAATTCAGGAGTAACATCCTATCATCTTGAATATTACTCAATTAACTAGCCACGGTAGCGAAATGAGTAATTTATAATTTATACCATTAAAGTATACACATAATTTATATTTGGTCCTTAAAATTTTAATTAATACAATTACATCCTTAAAATTTAAGCGAGTTTTAATCCAATCTTTACATCGAAATAAGTCACTGGACATCCCCCATAAACAAATAATACCTCTCTTAAATACATTGGTATTTTTTCCTTTGTCTCACAATATCTCTCTCAAGTTCTCACTCTATAACTTTTATTTTTGGGTTCATTATCATTTTTTTTTTCTCAAAATCAAATGAAATAAAGTAAAATTATAGTCTACACATAAAAGATTATCATACAAATATATCTCTTTACCTATGTTAGGTATTAGTCACATAAGACAATTCCATCGTAAAACTCAATGAAGACTCTAAGGATTTGACTGTTATAATTAAAACTTCAAGGATAAAAAAGAAATTAAATACATACTTTTAAGAGTAAAAATTATAATATACCCTAGGGCAAAAAAAAATGGGTAGCAATGCACCTTTTTCCCGTATATGGTAGGGTGGGGTGGTTGAGAGTTGAGACTTATCCGTCAAATATAAAAAGGACTGTTGAGCTTATTTCCCCATATAAAAAATGATTGAGGCAATGAGAATGATTTGCCACCTTTTAAATTATTTGGAATTTCATAGAGTAGATCAGTAAATACATAGTGAGCAAAACCACATAATTTAATGATCATAGCATTATGTTTCTCACTTAGATTTGCTCATTTGTAAAAGAGCAGTGTTTCTTTCATTATTTGCTATTTAGACCAATAACAAGTTTTAATGTCATATAACCTTTAAGGGGTTGTTTGGGAAGGGGGTATCCAGGGTTTGGCAAGTTGTGTTTGAAAAAAATAGTAAAAAGAACCCCTAAATTTCATGTTTGTATGAAAAATTTAGTTCTGAGTTTTTAAACCCGACTCGCAGTTGGCCCAAAAATTAAACTCATGATCATGAGTTTAGTCAAATCTAGAGAGGGTGGGTTTGGAAAGATGGATAAGGGGTTAAGAATTTAAAAGACAATTGTACCCCTTAACATAAGTATAAATTAGATTGATCAAGGATAAAATAATAATTTACAGGACAAATAGTTGTTAATAATTATAAAACATCTGTGAGTCGTACATGTGTATATGTTGAATACCAAATATACATGTGTATATGTTACATATCAAATATGGGTATGAACCGGATTAAATGTTGAATCTCATATTTATAAAGAGAGGTTTGGGTTAAAAGGGTTTGGAGAAACTAATCCAAACCCCTCCTCAAAATTCATCCAAACAAACTTTAAGGGGTAACAGAGATGAGTTATAAACTCAAACATTTTGAATTTAAATCTTGGTAATGTTTTGGCATTAAGGTATAATAAATTTATTCTTCGTGAATATCTAAGTTTCGACGTGGATGACCTTCTTTTGACTAGACAGAGAGAAAATTAATTAAAGTGTGCGTAAACTAGTCCGAACATCTCTAAATGTTGAACAAAAAAAAAATTATAATATTATATAAGGTCCACTGTCTATCTAATAATTATAGCAGATTAAATCAATAGATTAATAAATTATGTACTAATAATACTATTAGAAAATAAAGAAGATTTGAGGAAATCAATAAAGAACATGGCAAGTTAATTTTTCTAAAGAGAGCACTGACTCACATGAGTCACATTCAATGGGACAGTAGACCCTTTGACCAGAGGAAGGGTATGCCCCTATCTCTCTCTCTAATAATCATCCTCCCCGTTTCTTTAAAAAAGGATTAATTGCAAATTATCCCTTCAAGTTTGGGTTTGTTATAATCAACTCCCATTGATTTCAATTGTAACATATTGTCCCCTCAAAATTTGAATATTTTTCAATTAACCCTCACGGTTAATTTTGACAATGAAAAAGTGACAAATTATTTACACGACCTCAAATATGCTGAAAATACATATTTACCCTCACCAAATTCCTCAAAAAAATAAATTCTTAAATACTCCTATTCTATTATTTACCCAGAATCCTCTCCAACTTGTAATACTCTACAAACCTCTCCAACCAAAACCAACACCACACAAGCGAACAACTTTACAACCCAATACCAATGTCATACTCATACGAGCATCCACCACCAAACTCCTCTAAGATCTTGATGTTGTGGTCTAAGTAAACACTTGTTCAACAATGATTACAAGTTCAAGATTAGGCCGTTGGCTTTGGTGTGAGTGGAAGAGAGGATGCTGACATCGATAATGACGATGATAGAGAGCCAAAAAAAGTTGATCAGCGATTGGATTGTGTTGCTTGTGTCTAGGGCAGGGAGTGTGGATCTTTATTTCTAAGGGAAAAAGACGTTAAAAGAAGGTTAATTTTGACTTTTTGGAAAATTTTGCATCACGTGATTTGTTTGTGCTATTTTTTGTCACTTTATACTGTTGAAAATTAACGGAGGAAGTAAATTGAAAAATGGTTAAATTTTGAAGGGGCAATTTGTTGGAATTAAAACCAAATGAAATTGATTGTAATCTGACCCAAACT